ATTACTATAAGAGAAAAAAAGTTTTTATTTTTGAACACAGCTGCAAGAGAGACCTCGCACTTTTACAGTTTCAGGTATTCAGTTTAAAAAAAGCTTGGCTGGTTCTTTACCTTGGAGGTGTTTCATTACGCCAGTTTCTGAATACCGTTTTCATGTGCCAGACAAAGCGCCCCGGGTCCTCTTACAAACTGCATCGTAGGCTGACGTCTACCCTGGCCTCAAATTGGAAAATAGGCAATATTTTTTTATTTTATTTTGTTTATTTATTTATTTTTGTCTTTTCGAAGATCAGTTAATGTTATCTGATCCAAACTGGTTTCGCTCATTGATTTGCTCCCTTTTAAACGAGGATTAAATTCAGCATGTTGAGAACCGAATCACTGCTTCATCTCTCAATAATATTTTTTTTATTCCTAAAAACGACATGCCTTTCGATTTTCTGTGCCCCTACTTGAAATCACATTGTCTCATTTGCTGGGGATCTGTTGTCCTGATAAGACCCGAGATAAAGGCTGTATTATCCACGCAAACAAGTGATTTTACCATGAGGAACAGTGGGAATCCACCATGAAGGTGTCTCTTCTATATACAATTCAAATGAGGATGACGGAACAGCGAATTGATCTCCTCCCCAACTCCGATTACAGAACTGGAAAGTGTAAATGTATAAGTTCGTGCCCAGAAACGTAGTGGTCTCCCAATTAAAACGTATAACATCATAAGCTCTTTCTTTTGCTTTGTCGAATTGCGCAGATCCATTTCTTTTTTTCTTTTTCCGTTTTGGTTACACTAAAAGGATAACAAGTAAAATAATAAAAGGTTACATTTGTTTAAAAAAAGAGAAAGCCTCCTTTCCAGACCCTTTACTATAAAAACCTTTCTTCACATCGTCATCATTAAATCACAAAATAACTATTACCGCAAGAATCGTTCATTTTGTTCAGGCTATAGCACCAGAGTGAACACTAAACATTCTTAAAATTGACCACTAATCAATATGCTCAGTTATTTATCATTTCCAACGATAAAGGCCTACGCGTTACATTTTGTTTTTTGGTGATGGTGATGAATACGTGTGTGATGCAACAAAGGATGATGAATGGATTCCCAAATATTCTAATATTTTTTTATAACAAGTAATGTTAAGCTGCTTTCTAGTTAGAAGCCACGCATAGGTGTGGTGACGGACTCTTGTGGCTTTGAATATCTTTACGTGAGCCAGCCTGACCATTGGTGTTGAGTCACGAGCAATTTAAGAATAAGGTTCAATGACAAGGGGAGTAGCCATAGGGGCTGCATCTGCTGTGGCTGCTAGAAGAAAGTTTGACCTCCCGGAAAACGTCCTAGCAACTTGATCGAAAAGTGACCTATAACCAAACACAAATTAACAGCAGCAGCAGCAACAGCAGCGCTGGATTATGATAACTTGGAGGTAAGTGGTCAGATTTTTCATTTAAGACCCGTGCGGAAACACAATGAATCATAAAAAGAGGGAAGGAGAGGAGAAAAAAGGTGAAAACTGCCATGTTTTAACGCATTTCTACTTGGTTTCATATAAACATGTGATCATGTTTGTGGATATTTTTCTCCAAGAGCACTTGCATTCGCGCTCTCGTCCCTGGCGTCAGCTCTGTGCGCGTGCACGGACACTAAGGAGACAGGCTGAGCAATTGCAACCTAAATGTCAGCGCTGCGTCACTGTTTTTTTTTCCTCACAAACGGGACAGCAGACTTTTTAGTTATTACTTTTCGACACTGTCATTTTCTTGCTCTGAGACAGTCGTATCAGTATCACCTCTAAGCTATCACCTATGCTGAGTGCCCATTGTTTGCCCACCAGAGAGCTCTTTGTTCATGCATGGTGCATTTACGTATTCAAAAGACATCGCCGATTTACATTAAGATCCAGTGTTTTATTTAATTCTTAAGCACACAGTGACGTCGCTATCTTCGCTGTCGGCTTAATATAAGCCAGCATTAGTCAAATAATTTGATTACTGCATTTGAAAAATAAAGGAAATCATCGCTACGAAGGTGCACAGGAGCTCTGCACAGATCTAAACGGTCAAAACATGAGGAAATGCGTCGCAATAAACAGCAAGCAAGAAGTGTGTAATGCAAATCTATCCTCTGAATATGCATCAATATTAAAAATAATACGCACACCAGAGCCAACGGCGTCGGAGAATTGAGAATGGCGGAGCGGGTCGTCTCATTACGCATGGGCGGTTTTCCACGCAGGAGCCTGGGTTCTCCTTCTCTTCATGTTTCCCTTTAATTCTGTCCTGCTCACATTAGGGAAGCTTCTTTGGAAGACAAAACAAAGCTATGTTGGCTTTCAATACGGCAACGCACCAAGAACAGGCTGAGGGGAAATACTCCGACTGCGGCCGGGCGGACTATGTAGTAAGAGGGATTTGCATATTTTGATGCGCTAATTGCCTTGATGTATTTAAATATGGCTGCACGTAGCTGATATGCTTGTCTACGTCATTGAACGTGCCCTCGCTGTTAAACTAAAACGTGAATCCGGTTGAATCTAATGGATACGCCTGCAATTAGGCAAGGGATGGGGCTGGGGTAAGGGGGGTAAATGAGAGAGGATG